CGATGTTCGATGTCGCATTTCGATAGTTCCATAAGATTCCGTAATTTTCACAGGCACTATGCGAAGCAACCTCGATCCTTTTACAGATTATTCAGATGAGGAAATATGGTATGCGCTCGAAAAGGTCTTTTATGAACTAATCTAAGATTTAATTGTTAACTTGAAATTGTTAAAGGTTCAATTAAAAACACTAGTGGCTCAAGAAATGCCAAATGGACTTCATTCAATGGTGAGCGAAAGCGGCTCCAATTTGAGTGCCGGCCAAAAACAGCTCGTATGCTTGGCTCGAGCTATTCTGAAACAGAGCAAAATAATTGTCATTGATGAAGCCACTGCCAATGTTGATAATTTGTACGTGAACAATTCTTCATTGAAATCAGAGTAGCTAGTTCTTCCTCAAAAGTCAGAAAGTGTCTGGAATTTGAACCCTTTCTGGTTCTCCGATTTTCTTTTGAATTTTTGCTGAACTCTGAGAGTTTTTTAGATTGTGGTTTTGTAAGTAATTCTCTTGATTATTAGGCATTTTGTTAACAAAACTTTGAATCTGGTGGACTAATTTCATCCCATCCTATGGGATTTCTTCTTTTAACTCATGAATTGTTCGCCTTTTTCTTCAATAGAAACAGTTTCATTTTTCACTTTCCTCTTATATTTTCTATAGAAAAAACTTTTAATATTTTCACAGTAGTTTAAACAATGAAGGCTAAAGCTGACTTTGAAATATTCTGTATGTTTCTAGTTTGTTTAACTTTTTTAATACTTCCTCACTATAAGTGTTGATTATATGAATAAAAAGCCAAGTTTATAAGGAATTCTTACTGTCTCTACTTCAAATTAATTTTCAGCGTAGTTTTTATATAAACGAGAGCAGATAGAGAGAAATTGAGATGGTTGAAGAAGAAAGTCATGAAAGTCGATACAAAGCTTAGTAGAATCTTTTTACTATATAGATTACTTGTTACATATGATTCATAGGATGGGATGAGACGACCTGCAAATCCAATTTTGAGTCCTGATGAAAACAAAATACTCACTAGTTTGCAAAAAAAGTCCTGTCTGATTAATTTCCGACTTTGAGAATAAAATTCTGATATTTGATAGAAACCGTTTCATGCAATACTCTATTTAGTACGGATGAATTGATACAACGAATCATTCGCGAAAAGTTTAGTGAATGTACAGTTCTCACTGTGGCTCATAGTCTGAGGACAGTGATCGACAGCGATCGCATTCTGGTATGGAAATTTCAACTGAAATTTGTTTTCTATTCTAATCTGTTGTCTTAAAGGATCGAGGTTGCTTCGCATAGTGCCTGTGAAAATTACGGAATCTTATGGAACTATCGAAATGCGACATCGAACATCGTCCAAGCCAACAGAAGCGATATCAATATTGTCTATTTTGATTTGACCATCAACAAGTGTGCCAATACGAAAGAGCGTTTGGATAAGAGAGCTCTTGCCAGCGCCCGTTCTTCCAACAATGCCCACTTTTTCACTAGCTCGTATCGTCATCGAGATATGACGCAAATCAAGTGGTAAGTATGTCGGTGTGGAATGACGCATTGAAACATTATTAAAAACGATTTCACCATGAGATGGCCAACTTGGCGGTGGTCGAAGATCAAGTGGTACTTGAGCTGGAGATTCTTGATCCAGAGAACAGTAGTCAAGCACACGTTCGACAGAGGTCATTTCTGTTTCAATTACAACAGATTGTCTGTAAGAATCAACAATTCATAGAAAACTCATTCACACTATTTTTTACCTGATCGCCCATTGCAGTAAAGCCATGAGACTGAGACTATACGAGAGAATCAGAGCAATCTGAGCCGGTGAAAAATGGTGGTAATCAGTGACGCGTAGAACCATCGCAAGGAGTGTAACTAAACTGATAAAAATAAGTGCAACCCAATCGAAGCGAATCGCTGCCCAACGATTAATTGCAATGATTAGATGGTTTACTCGTGTATTATCATCCAGATGCGCTTGAAATTTGGCCAACCACTCATGTTCAGCGCGATACGATCGAACAACTTGGAGTCCATCAATAGTCGATGTTAAATGAGAATAGACAGGACTACGTGTAGTGCCTTCGAGTCGTTTCAAATCACGAGAAGTTTGCGCAAAACGATATCGTACATAAAACAGACCACCGGTGGAAATTAGTGCTGGAATGATGGACCATGGATGAAGCCAAGCAACTAGGGCAACTACGCCGAAAACTTGAAAACAGCACTAAACAACAAGAAAATACACATAAATGACACTCGATGAACTCACATCGAGAAAGTCAAAAGCATCGGTTGGCAGAGAATCATCCATGATGACCACATCTTTAGTGAAACGATTCAAGATCCGTCCTACAATAAAAAATGTTTATAAAAGAAAGACAGAGATGCTATAATTTGTATGATGATAAAACGCCTATGGTCCTTTCGCATAGGAAAGACATGTGTTTCACACGTTTTCCTATTGTCACCCAATGTTTTTCTAGTAATCATGCTACAAAAGTAAACTTTTAAAACTTGGTGAACCAATCATTGATCTAAACTTTTTAATGGTGGATCAAGATTGAAACGCTTTTTTTCAGTCTTCTACTAATTTTGCGTTGCGTATCATTACAGATTTTGAAAAATAAATCAGCGTCATCACAATTGACAATGTAGAACTCCTTTCAAATCCAGAAGTCTAATACGAAACCTTGTGTTAGACTGTACTGAACTTCCGCTACACGTGCCCAGAAATGACACTGAATAAAGAATGCACAAACGATTGAATCCTTCATAGCACATATAAACTCGATATTTGATTTCTATAATGCCAATATGATTCATTGACTGCAAAACAATTGGCTCCATTATTAAGAGTAATAGTAGTTACTGCCAATTACCGAGTGATAGTAATAAAAAGAAATAGTAATGTATCACCTTTATAGGAGAGGAATGGATTTCAATGTACTGATACAACTTTGTCTTCAATTTATAAAGGTTTACAGCTCAAAATTGTGGCTGGTGGGAGCAGCAGGGGGAGGGTATTTCCAGTTAAAATGCTCCATCACTCCAAAAAGTACTTCGATAAATATATTTTCAATATATTTCTCCTACCGATCGGATTTGTGTCAAAGAAAATAATAGGGGCTCGGATCAGTCGTCGGAACATCCTATGAAAGAAAGCCCATTGAAGCATTATAGCGAAACTGCGTAATTATTTACTTGTTGTGAAGCACTCGTGCAGCATTTACAAACATTAATTCAATAACGACAGTGCGGAAGAGAGTGATCAGAATAGAAATGAGTACAATTCCTAAAATTTAATTTGAAATTACATAGAATAAGCTCACACAATGTGCACAAACCGCAATAGATGTAGAATCGTCGGTTTCGATAATGATTCCATTCAGCATCAGTCATATCCCATATTGTGTTGTTTTGCTGACTACTCGTGCAATTGTTAGGAATATTATGCCGATAGCTTTCGTCATCATTCCATGCTGCTAACCACCAACTGCTAAAGATAAATGCTCCTTGCTGTGCAGCCGAGACGAGTGTTACAAGAAGAAAGCCGACAACAATGCCTGCACCGGCTCGCAAGTATGCGACAAATATATGCCATTTTAATCTACCTGTTTGTTTTGTCTCAACACTTGTAGACTGCATCAGCACCTCGTCTTCTTGCTGCGAACTTGTCGAATTGATAGTCAATTGTTGATGGGAAAGATCAACAGGACTCTCTTGCACGTCTTCATGATGAAGATCGACCGAATTCTCTTGCTCGTTTTGATAAATATCAGCATGTAAACTACCGAATAATGAGGATGAGGCAAGCAAATCGATGTAGGTACCCATACCTGCCACTTCGCCCTAGAATAGCATCTGGTTACCGAAAAATTCAATGCGTGAAATACATACATTGCAAAGAAGAATGATCTTGGTTGCATTTTGCAAAAATTGAATTTGATGTGTGGTCAGAATACAAATTTTGTCACCCAGACAACCTTTAATTGATCTATAATAGAATCGATAAATTCTCTCTTTATCCCGCTAAATACTAGAATTTGTTTACTTTTCAAAGAGATGTTTGGCTACCTTGGCATCGACGGCTGAAAGAGGATCATCCAAAAGGTAAATGTCCGCATTTCGATAGAGTGCTCGAGCCATATTCACTCGTGCCTTTTGACCCTAGGCAAAAAACAACGTCGATTTACACGAAGTCTTTTCTTTTGAAGTACAACTATTTACCCCAGATAAGGTGGCGCCTTGATCGCCAACAAGAGTATTCTCTCCTTGTGATAATTGAGCGAAATCCTATTTCATAAGTATGTCATATATGAAACATTGTAGCTAAGTATATCTACTGAATCAAGTGCAGTAGTTTGAACAACACGTTGAAACAACTGTGAATCATAGTCTTTTCCAAACAGAATGTTCTTTTTAATCGTCGAAGAAAAGATCCCTAATTCAATCAATAATAGGTTTACTATTTTAATTAAAAACACTCACATGACTGTTGTGGTACGTAGCAAAATGAGCCGTACAATCGAACATGTCCATCAAAAAAGGCGATTTCACCTGTAAGTGTTTGCAAGAGAGAACTCTATAAATCAATACTAATGAGTTTTCATGTTCAAAATAACTTGCAGACCTTGCCGGCTCCAACAGGTCCAACGATACAGATCAAATCACCTGGATGAGCATTGAATACAATGTTTCTTAGAGAAAATGATGCATTCTAAATGAGAGAGGAGCAAACATCAGCAAATTCCGATGTAGAAGAATGATATGATAGAAATATCTCAAACCAGTAATTCTCTAAAAGATGAGATGCTACTAGTGATACAATTGATATAGGAAACATCAGATTCCGGAACTGTGTCACAAACAAATCTAATCTGGTCAGATCCAAAAGCCCTCAATTTTTCAAATAGTTTAGCAGTGTAAGCGTAATGAGCAGATTTACAAACTTAAGAACATTGTTTTTTTTAAAACTTTTGATGTGGTTACAATAATACAGAAATGACAAATAACATTCACGTACGCTCATTTTGCTCTTTCCTGAATCGATATGACATTTCAGAACAAAAATTGAGATGAAATGCTCTAACCGGACGTCAAGTTTCAAAATTGAAATTGGATCATATCTGTAATAATTTTATTAAGACCCAACACGGCATCAATTCAAGTGAAATAAGTATTCGTGTACTCTGGGAAATATTATTCGCTGGAAATTCATCTTTTCCAGAATCATACCTGTTCCCATTGTGCTCGTTCTAAACTGCATACAACATTTGTTGATATTCTTGGAATACTCTCAAGTGCCACTTGTTTTTGGTGCTTATCGGGCGCAGGCTCTGCTTCCGATTGTGACAATAATCGATTATCTCGTTCAGATTCGCCAAGCAGAAGAAATGCCTATTGGTAAATGTTGTTCAGTAAGATGTAACACGTGAGCCATAACACATGAGCCTCTCTGTATTTTCACTATATATTAGTTTTCGTTCAATTCTTAGACTTCATTGTTTCGCCAAAAGATGCGCCCTCAATCTCTCCACAAAATTTGATCAAACCTATATCTATAGAAGAGTGAATGAGAGAACTTTAACGAAGGACACTTAACATGAAGAAAAGGACCAACTTTCTAAACTATTTTCTTTAAGAAATTTTAGAATATTTTAAGCAACTATAAAGAGCTTGAAACAAAAGTGAAGCTATTTTCGAGTACTTTGAAGTGCACTCTCTCTCTTTATACTGTTCACAGTTCGTTCAAATCTATCTTAGCATCGAAAATTCATTGCATACCAATAAAAATCTGCTATTGTTCTGAAGATGAATTAATGAAGTACTCTTTAAGATAAACTTCCGCCGATCAATCTGGCACAAGGGCAGCTTTTCATCAAAGGAAGAAAATGCCAGCTGAAGAGTATTATTTGGGGCTTTGTTATACGACATTTTTTCGGTGTTCCGAATTTTCAAATACATATGGCTGAATTGTGGGAACCATCGAAAGAAAGTAAAAAAGCGATGGCAGCCTCAAAAATTGAACTAGCATTTGTGTATGTAATAATGGTTGATAGTGCTTGTCAAGAGATGCCAAATGCATATCTTCTCTACTTTTCATCATCGAGCTCAAAGAAAGTAGTTTAGTGAAACATTTTTCAGCTTCAAAAGTGCGTTGGTTTCATCATGTTGAGTCGTTTTTGTTGGATTTTTCTTTATAACTTTTCTATAGCAATAAATTTGACCACGTTTTGTGGAAAAATTGACGAGACATGTTGTGGGGAAAACAGTCATGTCAAAGGATTGTAACGATCAAAGTTATAGTCAAAATGCTGAGAGGATCATTCTTTATGTTATCAGTTACGAATAAACTCGCATGCACTAACTTGAATCCGTTTTTGAGCAGCCATATAATGAACGCAAGCTTTGACACCAACACTGAAAAGCTCGATGATAGGTGTTCGCATATATGCAAGCAAGCAGGATGCAACAGCAAAGAACTGTGTGTCAAATTGAATATTCAACGCCCACATTGCTGCATACATCATCAGAAATGTTACACTAATGAAAGTTTGTGAGAAAAACAGTTGAATGCACTCGAATATCGAACGACAGGAGTATTGGAGGATTTCACGTCTGAAAACAATTTAGACAAGACGGTTCTAATCGATATGAAATAAACTTACTTTCGCACGTGAT